CAATGCACCTAGACCTGCCATGATGCCCCAGGGAGAGCCCACACCTCCTGCTCCGCCCACACTAGGCTTCAGCCCATGCCACACCTGCTCTGCCTGCCACCCCACCAGTCTAATCCAAGTCCCTCCTGAGCATCCCACCCTCTCAGGATCCTGACTCAGTTTCACATAGGTGCATACAGCTGGGAGAGTGATTCCACTGCTATCTGCAGCTGGAGGACTCATTGTGTTGGGGACATGTGACCAAGTGACAGCCCACCCCAGTTCCAAACTCACTGGTGAGCATTTTCTAGGCACAGGAAAATGGAATTCATTCTCTGAATAGCATGGACACCCTCTGTGCTGTTTGCATCTCGCCCAGAAAACTGACCCATGGTTTCACAACAAATCCAACTGTGCCTTGGGCATAATCTTACTGTCAGACACAAGCAAAGATTTTCTGTGGGCAGCCAAAGTGAAAGCAGTTGAGCAAGAGTCTAGGAAGAGTTAGGCAGGGAACAGGTCTTCCTCTAAGAAGATGTTCCATCCACAGTTGTCCTGACAATGGGCTGCCTAGATGGTGTGGTTATCATCCAGAAATCATGGAATCACAGCATGATTCAGGTCAGAAGAGACCCTACAGATGACCCAATTCCACCCCCTGCCATGGGCAGGGACACCTTCCACAAACCAAGTTGCTCAAGGTCCCATCAGACCTGGCCTTGGACACTGTGACTACTACATTGCTGTTAATTAAGAGCAATTGATTATTTGAGGACCATACCAAATAGCAAGATCAGTTTAAAGAGTCTGATAAATTATGGTCTCACTTTTTTAACACACTTCTAGGATTAAATACTCATCCATGACATGCTCTCTGGAACAGCAGGAGCATATTTGAAATTGCTAAATACAGACAAGACAGATCTTTAGCAATACTCACCACTTAAAATACTGTTTCTAAGACTATGAACTGAAATAAGAAGACACTATCTTCACAAAACACCAGAGCATTTTCAAAAGCCACAAAGCTTAGTATGAAAACAAGGAAAAATATAAAATACCAGCAAAAAGCATTGAAATACAGAAAAATATCAGCTCCATCTTTTCTTTTTTTTATACCTAGAAGGACAATAGTACCAATTCAGACAGTGAAAGGACAATGAGGAACAGTTTTAAACTGAGAGAGATTTATATTAGATGTTATGAAGTAATTCTTCCCTGTGAGGGTGCTGAGGCACTGGCACAGGTTGCCCAGAGCAGCTGTGACTGCTCCATCCCTGGGAGTGTTCTAGGCCAGGCTAGATGGGGCTTGGAGCACCCTGGGCTAGTGGAAGGTGTTCCTGCCCATGGCAGGGGGGGGAATGAGATGAGCTCTAAGTTCCCTTCAACCCAAACCAGACTGATTCTATAATTCTATTTAAATACTGTGAAGTGTCACTGAAACAGTGTGGGACAGACCCTACCCTGGTCCAGCTCCTCTTGAGAGTCTCAGCCAGGTGACAGCAACTGTGA